AGTTATCACTAGCAAGGGTGAATCCACTTATTAGTTACGTATTCAAGGTGATGGGTGTAATGATTGAAGTCGAAATCTTAAACCTAAATTAAAATCTTAGATCCGTCTATGATCACTAGACCATAATTAATAAATGGTATACATATTTTTACTTTAATTATTGCTTAATTATGAAAAAATTGATATGGTTTAATATAAATATCTGATACAAAACTTTTTTAGCTTTACTTTGGTTAATTATGACAAAATTGATTATGAATTAAATATGCACAAAAATCAGGCCCTTTTTTTTAACTCATTAACAAATGTTTGTTATCAATCTTCTTGCCATTCCATAATGGCGTTATATAGCAGAAGGTCCGGAAATTGATGTCACAAACATTTAATTTTATCGTAATCTGATTTTATAAAGACAATTTATTACTCCTCCGTTCACTTTTACACGTTTTGACCTTTCACGTCCCTTAAAAAATAATAAATGAAATGCATAATTTACCATGATACCTATATTAATTGATGCATATTTTGTTGGATTTGAGAAAATGATTTAAAATGAGTAATAAATACTGTGGGTATAACAAGATTTTTTTTTGTCATTCTCTTGATATACGTAAAGTGACAAGTAAAAATAATAGTCTATTTTTAGTATACATGTCAAGTAAAAGTGAATGTAGTGAATACTATATTGCGCCCTCTAGTATAAATGCAACAACTATTGACATTTACTTTACCTACTTCCACCGAAAATGTAATTAATCAGAATACTCTACAGGTTTTATAGTAAGATTTGACAAGAGTAAGTTGTTCTAGTGGTGAAAATTCTCCATTTTCAATCAAGAGGTTGTGGGTTCGAGTCATCCCAAGAGCAAGGTGGGGAGTTCTTGGAGGGAGGGAGCCGAGGGTCTATCGGAAACAACATCTCTACCCTAAGGTAGGGGTAAAGTTTGCGTACACATTACCCTCTCCAAACCCCACTAGTGGGATTATGCTGGGTTGTTGTTGTCGTTATTGTTGTTGTTGCCCAAGAGTAGGGGTAAAGTTTGCATACACACTACCCTCCCCAAACCCCACTAGTAAAATTATACTGGGTTGTTGTTGTTGTTGTTGTTGTTGTTTTATAGTAAGTACAAATTCCTTCGGCGCAAAAATAAATAGCAATGTCCTAAATATTATCTTAGTGTAGGCATAAGAATAGGCACGAAGGCTATAGTTTTTTCCTACTCATGCGTCCAAATTTACTTGATCACTGTACTAAAAATAAATGTCTCCTTTTACTTGTCTAGTTTGGAAAATGAATGGATAATTTACTATTTTAAACCTGTTCTACCCTTATCATTTTCCAACAATTTGAATTGATAATAGCCAAAGTTAGTTTTTATAATAATAATTAGGGGTGATATAGTGAAATTTTTGTTAAGGGGGTGCCAATCACACTCCTAAGTTTAAGTTATTGATATGTTCAAACACTACAGTAGTTCTCCTAACGAAAAAATATTAATGTACATACTAACAAGAAACAAGTTTAGATTTTAAGCACGCTGTATAGAAAATAATTACACGATTAGATCACATAAAGCTAGCTATATGTAAGTGTATACAGTAACTTATTAATCTACACAATGTATTAATTTATTATAACAATTTAAAGTTTCGTGATAGTAGAATTTTTTTGTACTATTATATATCAATATGTTATAATTTAAATCACAAAGTATATACAGGTGTACTGTCTTTTTAATAAATAATCTAGCTGTAATAGTGGTGGTCTCATTGGCTGCTATGGGAAAATAGTGGGACAAGTGCACTTATAATTATTCTCGTGGATGCTAATTAGAGATTAGTCAGTACTTACTTTGTCCTGAAATTTTAAACTAAAGATCTTAACTTTAGGATAATTCAGGATATTTTTTGTCCCGAATATTTAAATTGAAAAATTAAAATTCAGAACGCACTGACTAATTATTAAATAGCAGTCCTTTAAAATGGCTACCTAATATCATTTCTACGAAAATAATTGGTGGTCTTTTAAAATGATTAAAACTGACTAAAATCTTATGGAAAATGTACTTAAAAATGCACGATCGTAATGATTAATATGGAGTANATATATATATATATATATATATATGCAGAACTAAGACAGCAAAATTTTCCGAGTATATATATGACAATTATGGTGTACAAAGAAAACCGATAAACCACATCAATTTGATAATTCGAGTCAAATCGAAAAAAAAAAAAACCGATTGTGATTTGATTTGGTGTTGGAAAAAAAATCGACCATAATTGGTTTGGTTTTAACTAAAAAAAGTCACACCGAAACCAAACTAACTTGACATTACATTTATACAATTTAAAAAAATATTTTATGCATATAAATATTTATTGTAATATAATTTATAAATATTTCTTAAACTTGTTCACAGTTTTATCTTTAAAAGTATTATTTAAAGTTTGAACTAACATTTTTGAATGGTCCGATAAATTTTATAGCCCAAAAAATTAGTAAGTCAAATAAAGTTTAAATCAATACTAATGCTAATGAAGGAAATTTAATTTAACACTAGGAATGATAATAGTGTTGGATATCTGTTTTTTAGTTTTGCATTGATTTATAATGAAAATGTATAACCTAGTTTATCTTTTTTATGCTTAGTTGTGTAATTAATAGTACTTATTAGTTGTACTCATTTTAGCACGGCATATATAGTATTTTTAGATTATGTTAATTTTTATTATGGTGTATTAATTAGTAATATTTTCTTTGTGCGATTTTATTATCTATGTTATTGAATATTTTAGTGCAATGTTATGACTCATTTCATATTATTATTTTATTTTCTTGAAAAATATATTATATAGTTGTATCCTACTAGGACTAAAATAAATATTTGGAGCACAAGTTACATATTTTGTGCTATTAAGACTTTACCGGAAAAAAACCTGAAAACCCCGACTTTATTGGTTTGGTTTGGTTTATAAATTTAAAAACCCGACACTATTATTTTGGTTTGGTAATTGAAAAATCCGAACCAACCCAACCAACCCCTAATGACAATTTTTTTTTCTTTAGGAACTACTCAAATCCCCTTAAAACAAATAATCTTGATTTAAAAATTCAAAAGTAAAAAAACATCTTTCCTTCACTAAATTTAGTGTGAGATAATAAATTTGGTGTTGTCATGCGAAAGGGAGATAAGTACTATCTTCATTTATTGTTCTTATAAGATTGGCAAACGTTCACATCAACTATCTTTTCGAGAACAACCAAGGTTTGCGCTTCATTTTTAATTGGAGGTTTCGGTCGAGTCTCGGGCATAGAATTACCTTTGTTATGGAGCGTCTTGCTCACGGTGTGAAACTTTTCGACACGAATCCTATTTAATGAAATTTTATAAAAATATCAAACACCGAATGGAACCCCCAAAAAAATTACTACTTAAGTAATTTTTTCGATTAGTTTTCAAATTCGTGACACTGATTTTGGCTCTTAACCGCTGAACTGTCCCATGAATGATAAAAATGATCATGATATAACTTTCGGGGGTCGTTATTACCGGAATAAGAATAATAATCTCAAAATAGAATACGAAATTATATTTATTCCATATTTAATTATGACATTAGTTAGCTAATGTTAAGATAAATTTTAAATCAAAATGGTTAGATTAACTATCCCAAATAAAAGCTCGAATAGCTATTCACCTGAGATATCTCAGCCTATCACATAACCTTGTCTATTCCACTTGGTAACGAAACCACCCAATAATTCATAAGTAGAAGAAGAAAGAAAGAAACTGTTCTCGTCCTTGTGAGGAGAGTTGTTAACCATCTTTAATTTCTAATGACACCTTCAACTTAGGATTTTGATTTGTACTTCAAAGTTTGAATTATACACTGTAGACCTTATTCTATTAGGTCAAAATCAATACTATGAAATTAACTAATAATGTAACCTTCGTTATTTCTACAAAAAGTTCAATCACAAATTTTAAGTAATATATCCCCGCTCTTGCTTTAAAAAGTGTAGCATCAAATTAAAGAATCCGAACCGTCCAATTAAGGCAATAACCACCAAATTTTGAGATTCCAATGTCTCTCTGTTTTCTTTTTGGTGTGTGGTTGTGGAGAGGGTGAGGTGGAATATTTTACCTATAGTAGGTCAGATGGTTAGCTCCAAACGCTAGGTAGGAATAACATTCAAAATAAAAGATTTTAATAACAATTAATTAAAATATCTAAGTAAATTAAATAACCAATTTACATAATAAAATATTAAATCAGTATATTCTAAATTATTAAAAAATGTACTATGTAACTTAGCATAAACATCTAAAACAAAAACCAAGAAGATAATATTATGTGACATACATGACGGATAACCCAAGATGTAAAATATGAAAAAGACACACTTGAACTTAGACCTAAGCAGATTTCGAATTTACCTAGTATTAAAACACACTTAAACTGCATATATTCAATTAGTAGGTAAGACCACTTCTGGTAGATAACATTTATTTTGTGAACTTCACAAAATTATTTCACTTCGATAAATTGATTTTACTCATTCATTTTAATTTATGTGACTAGTTTGATTGAGCACATAGTTTCAGAAAGAAATTTTTTTCGAAATTATTATTTTAAATATATCATAACATTTGTATGACTATAAAATTTTTAAAACTTATAATTTTAAACATGTAATAATATTTGTGTAACTATAAAAGTTTATCGTTAATAATAAAATGAAAAGTAACCGGCACTATAACCGAATCGATAGGTTCCTTTTTAAAATTAAATTATTTACAAATTTAATAAATTATTATCTTTTAGGACGGATTAATAAAGAATACTATTATATAAACTGAAAAAGTAGATTATAAAATCCAAAAACTTCACATCGATAATCATAAAAAATTGACTAGCAGAATTAGAACGCTAATCTTCAATTATTTTATGACTTTATGTAGCCAAATTGAAAACTTCTAGTGGTGGCCGCTTGTACTACTCTCAATCTCAATTTCTCATCCACATAAGCACTGACGTTTGTTTTTTATTTTTATTTTTTATCTCTATATAAATACACATCAATAGAACACTGCATTTCAATTCTCTTTACATTCTTTTCAACTTTCTCTTTCCACTTTCCACTCACTGGAATCTATGGATTCTTCTAAAAACAACATTTACCAGCCATTTTTAGAAAACAATGGAACATCTAATTTGTCACCCCAATTATCTGAAACCCACAATTTTGAATCAAGTAATGAACTTGAAACTGTACTTTTGGACACTGAAATACCATTTTGGAGTAAACTCCGTTTAGCTACATGGATTGAAATGAAGCTCCTTTTTTACCTTGCTGCACCTGCTGTTATGGTTTATATGATTAATTATATTATGTCTATGTCAACTCAAATATTTTCTGGTCATTTGGGTAATCTCGAGCTGGCTGCTGCTTCACTTGGAAATACTGGGATTCAAGTTTTTGCTTATGGTCTTATGGTATGGTTCACACAACATTTCTTGAGTACCTTTTAAAATTTATGGTAAAGTTGTCTTTGTATGATACCTAGGTTACCGGTTCGAGCCCGTGAAATCAGTTACTATGCTTGCATCAGCGATCACGGGTTCGAGCCGTGAAATCAGCTAAGCCGTGAAATCAGCTATTGATGCTTGCATCAAGGTAGGTAGGGGCGGAGCTAGACTGCTGATAGCGGGTTCAGCCGAACCTAGTAGCTTTGGTTCGAACCCTATATTTATCTTTAAAAATTCAGTGAATATATGTAAATTATTAATTTAGAATCCAGTAGCTTAAAATGATTAGAATCCCGAACCCAATAAACTTGAAATCTTGGCCCGTCTCTGCATCAGGTAGACGGCCTATATCACACTTCTTGAGGTGCGGCCCTTCCCCGGGTTCTGCATGAGCGTGGGATGCTTCGTGCCACTGTCATGCCCTTTAAAATTTAGGAATAAGTGGAAATATTTTAAAGTTCTTTACTGTCTGATATTTGTTTGATATTTACCTGAATGGGAAAACTGGAGTTAATTTCTGAGAACGAAAGAAATTGACACTGTTTGATGAAATAGGTGCTTTAACTTAAATTCTTTTTCTGAACAAGTTTTAAATTCTTTTTCTGAACAAGTTAAGAATAATTGGGTCCATTTTAAAGAGGAAGAAATTAGCAATACTAGGTGACATAGATTCTTTGATGTAATATTTGTTATTTTGAACAAATTTAGGAATAATTAGAGTTATTCTAAAGAAGGAAGAAATTGACACTATTTAGTGAAATAAGTTCCTTAATGTGTTTGTTTTTGGAAATGACAGTTGGGAATGGGAAGTGCAGTGGAAACACTCTGTGGACAAGCATTTGGAGCAAAGAAATTTGATATGCTAGGAGTTTATCTGCAAAGATCAACAATTCTCCTAACTCTAACAGGAATTTTACTCACTTTCGTGTACATTTTCTGCAAGCCAATTCTAATATTTCTAGGTGAATCGGAAAGAATTGCTTCAGCAGCAGCCTTATTCGTGTACGGTCTAATTCCCCAAATTTTCGCATACGCGTTTAATTTCCCAATCCAGAAGTTTCTACAAGCTCAGAGCATTGTAGCACCAAGTGCATACATTTCAGCTGCGACTTTAGCGTTGCATTTAGTGATGAGTTGGGTTGTGATTTACAAGATTGGGCTTGGGTTACTCGGGGCGTCTCTGATACTGAGTTTGTCATGGTGGATAATTGTAATAGGCCAATTTGTGTATATTGTGAAAAGTGAGAGGTGTAGGCAAACATGGAAAGGGTTCAGTTTGCAGGCGTTTTCCGGCTTGCCAGTGTTTTTCAAGTTATCAGCGGCGTCCGCGGTGATGTTATGCTTGGAGACATGGTACTTTCAAGTTGTGGTTCTGCTTGCTGGATTGCTTGAAAATCCTGAATTGTCTTTGGATGCTCTTTCTATTTGGTAAGACCAAAAACCCCTGCCAATTGTTTTTGGTTCACAAGATAAGTTATATTTACTATCAATTGATTCAAGTTAAACTATATTTAGTATACAAGCAGATTTATAGGTGTAATTATAGGACACGTGAACATATGGTCTCTTCGTAAGATTAGATATTTTATGTACATATTTTCTAAAATTGGTATAATATTGACTGTTGGCACCCATAAAAACAATAAATGGTGCACTTGGTTGAACGTTGAGTTATTTATCCAGAGATATAAAGATCAATTCTCACTTGATATATTTTTTCTTCCTTTATTTACTAGTGCACCCATATACTAAAAATCCTAGATACGTATTTGAGTATACCGTGGTAAAGAGGATATCGACATAAAAGTTGGATATCAATTCATACTTATAATATTTTAGTAATTATAATCCCAGCCCTTAACTATTTAATTACCTCTAATTACTAAAGACCTGGTCGAAGTTCATTTTTTTCATTCAAGACTTGTCTTTTCGACCCAATTTTCCCTAGATAGTACTATCACTCTTTGCAAAAATTAGATTGAATTTTTGAATTTTTTTTGAAGATGAGTTTCAAGTTTGAAAAGTTGTTATTCATTTTTTCTCACAAAATTGTAATATTGTTTCAAGTGAAATGCATGTCCAAACATAATTTCAAATACCCCTTTTCAACTTAACTTCAAATACTATTTTTTTTTTACTTTCAAAAATCACAATTTTTATGTCCAAAAGCCTACTAAAATTCTGGTAGTTAACCTTGCATAGTAGTGCTGGATTTGTATGCAAAGACCTAATGTTTGTCCAAATTATTCAATGTTGCTAAAAAATTCCTAATTTTTCAATATGCTTTTATCTTACCTTTTACTGTTTTTATGTCACTGTCCTTTTCTCAAGTTGGCAGAAACTTCAACCTTTTCCTCCTTTGAGCCAACAAAAAAGCCGGAGATAATGCTTTCCAATGGAAAGTTTCCATATTCAGTCTATCCAATTTAATATGATGCTAATAAGTAACTGAACACTTTAAAATTATTAACTCACTTAGGACCCGTTTGTCCATAATTTCTTTTTTCCTTTTTTTCAATTTTGTTTTCAAAAATGTGTTTGTCCATGAAAATTTATAAGTTTTTAAAGCCATTTCGAAAATGAGTTTTTCAAAACCCAAACCACTTCTTCAGGTTTTTCTGAAAAAGTTTTTTTTCCATTCAAAAAACTGCAATAGTTTTTCAAGTGAAATGTATGTCCAAACATAATTTCAAATTTCAAATACCATTTTTCATTTAACCCCAATTTCAAATTTCAAATACCATTTTTCATTTAACCCCAAATACTACTTTTTTCAGAAATCGTAGTTTTTATGTCCAAACGCCAACTTAGTTAAACATTAGTGGCAATGAAAGAAAATTATGATAATTTAAATAATTTAGTAAGAGCATATTTTACTGATTAAAAGTTATATATAATTATATTATTGGTCGAGTAGCTCTAGAATATTACTAGTAAGTATTATTTTTTCTTTATAGCATATATTCCCGTTCAGTTTCCAAGTTCTCAAGGCAAGATTTTTTCCAATAGTTTAATCCCTCTCTTTTTAAAGGGAAAAGAATGGTATGAGAATAGAATAACAGTGTTAAAAGAAGGCCTGCTTTAGTACTGACAATCTAATAGATATTATAAACTTGTTTTGAAAACACTGTTAACTTTTAGATTTGTGTACTGATTTGTACTGCTAGAGTATTACTCCCTCCGTTCTAATTTATGTGAGGTTGTTTGACTCGACACAAGATTTTTAAAACTTGTGGTCTTAAAAGCTTAACGGGTAAAAGCTTTGCAGTGTCACAACATTTGTGTGTAAAAACTTCTCATTAAGGTTAAAATTGGTAAACTAGAAAGTTTAAAGTTAAATTGTTTCAAGATATAGAAATTTGTCATTCTTTTTGGAAGAGACAAATAAGAAAAGTGCATCAAATAAATTGAGACGGAAGGAGTATTATTTTCTTTGATCCCAATACTTTTCACATTTTCCTGTTTATATTTTGAAAATTTTAAATCTATAATCTATATTATAAATAAGGTAGGTTACAAATTTTCAATAGCTAACCATTTTGCCTTTTCCTTTGTGGTTGGTGGAATAACTCAAGCATGACAATTTCTGGTTGGGTATTCATGATATCAGTTGGATTCAATGCAGCAGCAAGGTCAGTTTTCGCTTTAACTTATATTTTTCTCTTTGTTCATTTCTCCTTTAATTTCTCTGAGCCGGAGGTTTATTGGAAACAACCTCTTTACCTTCATTAGGTAGGGGTAAGTTCTGCATACACATTACCCTCCCCCGACCCCATCTGTGAGAATATACTAGGTTTGTTGTTGTCATTTCTCCTTTCTGTCATGCATTGATGCTTGTCTACATTTGTTATGTTGTAAAATTGAATTCTTCATTCAGATAATCTTGTTCTTTTTTGTGAACAAAATTCGTTTTTCCGCTAATGATTGTGTAATTCTATCTATCTTGTGTTTATGCACCTGGCAAAACTTTTCGGGCTGTACGTACTACGTAGTATGTTTGCACTTTGTACTATACAAAGGAAGTGCAATGGCACTGGATATTTGTGCTGCATATTAGTGCAACACTATCTATTGTACTTGGTCCATGCATATCAAATTTAATAAAACATTTATATCTTTAACCATCTTTTTGCTACTAATAAAGGAGAATGCAGATATCTCTAATATACTATCTGAGGAAATTCGAAATATATATGGAAGAACTGATCAGTTTACAAAACATATAGAACTATTTTTCGTTCATCTTAATGGGAAAGGGGGTGGGGGAGCGCATAACCTCCTTCCACTTCAATTTTACCCTTTTTATTTTCTTGGTTGCCAAATCCTTTTTATTTTCTTGGTTGCATTTTAACCGAAAGAATTTCTTGCGCAATTCATGCCATTCTGTTTTTATGACTAGAAATTCTTTCTTTATTTTCATATAATATTGTTCTCTGGACTTTTTATCAATATGAGGTGATCGTAATACAGTAGCTTCTTTAAGCTCCAAACTTGAGATATAAATATAAGGATAATTATGGATTGAAATGAAGTATCTTTTTTCTGATTTGCTTTAATGTGACATGCTGATGAACAGTGTGAGAGTGAGCAATGAACTAGGAGCAAGGCATCCAAAATCAGCAGCTTTTTCTGTTATTGTGGTTACATCGTGGTCTTTCATTCTCTCAGTGATTGCTGCAGCCATCGTTCTTGCATTGCGTAATCTCATCAGTTATGCCTTCACTGGTGGTGAAGTCGTGGCTGCAGCTGTCTCCGATCTTTGTCCATTGCTCGCGATTTCCCTCATACTCAATGGAATTCAGCCTGTCTTGTCAGGTAATTAGATTTTAGCATCATATCTTCGCCACCAAGTCTTTGATTATCCTAGCTAGTTTGATTGCCAAAAACAGATCAGCTTCTGTTTGTTGACTGGATATAACATTGTCATTTAAGCTCCTGCGACTATACTGTGTTAAATTTTTCTTTTTTCTTATGAATATATAGGTACTATAATGGATTTGAATCAGATTTAGGATCGATACATATTCAGTATGAAAGTAGAGATGAAATAAGCACCGAGATTAGATTATCTGATTAAATTGCATATAAATCTTGCAGGTGTGGCTGTTGGATGTGGATGGCAAACTTTTGTGGCCTATGTAAATGTGGGTTGCTATTACATTGTCGGAGTTCCAGTGGGTGTTCTTCTCGGCTTTCATTTCAAACTTGGCGCTAAGGTAATCACAATATATTCCATTAATATTCTCAAGCAGGAAAATTGCTAGTCTAATCTATTATTATAGAAAAATGACTATATTATTGTGGTGTATGCAGGGTATATGGTCAGGAATGTTGGGAGGTACAGTGATGCAAACAATCATTTTAATATGGATCACTGCTCGAACCGATTGGAATAAAGAGGTAATTCAAATCTCTTTACTTTTTCTAATGCTTGTAGTTATCCTGGTAGAAATAGACATCATTCTTTCTAATGTACTATTCGGAAACATGCTCTCTACCTTCCCAAGGTAGGGGTAAGGTCTGCGTTAAGGGTGACATGTGGGCCGGTTAGGATCGGGCCCGGCCCAGGACTGCAAGCCCAAATGGGCAGTGGGCCTAAACGGTCATAACCGGATAGGACCGGGACCGTGGGGAGGTGGGCTGGATAGTGGGCCGGTCCCCATAGGCGAGGCCCGCGAGACCGGGACCGGTTGGGAAGTGGGCCAGTTCAAGCGGTCCTAAACGGGCCCAACAGTTAATTTTTTTTTTAAAAAAAAATCTGCCCTATTATAGCCGTTATGGCATTTAAAATATGGCCGTTTTACTTGCCAAGTTATAGCCGTTATGGCATATAAGAAATAGTCATTTAATGCCCCCTAACTTTGTTTTAACCCCAAATTTTTTATAGTTACACTTTTTCTTATATATATATATATATATATATATATATATACTATATTATATATACATCTTATATCGAATACATCTTATATACATACTATACTATACTATATGTACATCTTATATATCTTATATATATCGAATATAGCTTATATATATATAATATATACTATAATATACTGTATATACATCTTAAGATATATATATATATATATATATACACACACTATACTATATATACATAGTATATAAGTCATATTCGATAATATACATCTTAAGATATATATAATATATATAGTAAGATGTATATATATTATAGTATAGTATAGTATATACTATATATACAACTTAAGATATATAAGCTA